TTCCTTTAATTTGTAGGGATTTCCTCTCACTTCCTGTTTTGGCTATGGGACAGGCAGTGAAGGTAAACCTCCCAAATGGGACACAAATGGCAAAAAAGTTAAAAAAAAACGTACAGGGGTTATAACCCAACTTTACTCTATCTAAAATGAAAAAACGTTGTGCCTATAGTTTTACTTTAGAGCAAATAGACTGTGCACTTTGTAAATTGTTACAGAGCTTAGCAACTGAGATAAAGCTTCACTTTACAAAGAATACTCAACCACATGCAAGGAAAAAAACAACATTGTTGCTTGCACATGATTGGATGATGGAAGTCAGCAGAGCTCCCCCTCATTTACTAAGCAGCTCTGGAGCAACTTCACTTGGTAAGTGCTCAGTCTATGCACCTTTAGTAAATCCACCCCTTAACTTTAAGTAAATCCACCCCATTACATGTAGTAAAAATTCTATTTTCTCTTGTCTTTTCACCAGATTTTCAGAGACGTTTTTGTGTATGTACATCATTTACAGCATGAATGCTCAGCCAGTGGCCCTCCAACTGTTGCCTTTGCCTTTAGTAGTCATGCTTGTATTGTAACTGTCAGCCTTGCAATGCCTTATAAGATTTGAAGTTCTTTAACACCTGGAGGGCCACAGGTTGAGTACCCATGGTCTAATCCCTTGTTAAAACATATAGTGTGTCAAATGTAGTGGGGATACTTACTTTTTAATTTATTTTGTTTATTTATAATTATTTTTAGAGATATCTTCCCACCAAGTTCGCACAGAATTTATTGATCTTTTTAGCTATCCGTAAGGGGGTAGTTCTTCTCTCAATGACCACAAGTGTAAGAAGCATTCTCACACTAATGTATCATGAGTTGTACATATAGTAATTTTTAGCAGGGGTTTCCTGAAACCAGAAAAGTATTTCAAGGGTTCCTCTGTTTTGAAAAAGTTGAGAAAGGCTGCTTAAAAGTGTAACTAAAGGTAAAACTTTCTTTTTTCATTTTTGAAAAGAGTAGTGGAGGATTATGACCCCTATCAGGTTTTTTTTTCCATCGGTGTCCCTTTGGGGAGATTTACCTTAATTTCCTGTCCCATTGCCAAAGCAGGAAGTGAGAGGAAATCCATGCAAATTAAGGGAATCCCTTGGGGTCCCCCAGGTCACCAGAACTAATGTCCCTAGTGGAAAATTTGCCTATATTACTTTTCTGGGGACAGCCCACTTTCAATGATAGTTGAAAACAGGACAGATAGATGGTGAAACTCCCTACTGGGGGCACAGAGAGCAATAAAAACCTAATAGGTGTTCTAATACCTCCCCAGCCTATTCACAAATTTAAAAAAATGTTTTTTCTTCAGTTATACTTTAAAATACAAATGCAAATATTTAAATAATAATAATTTAAATACAAATTTTTTTTATAAACATCAAATATTGAATGAAAATAAAGGGGGTTTTCTAAGTGTATTGTGGACACCTCCCTGTTGCCAGGGAAGTGTAGAAGTGAAACAAATGTCCATATATGAAAATCAATATAGCAAAACCAATATGCAATAGTTTGAATCAGTTCATTCTTTTTAGAATTGTGTCCCCGTGCTACAAGACACCTTGCTTTCATTAGGTGTTATCATTAGTTGCATGGGGGGAGCTCCTTCTGCTCTAAATGTTACTGCGGTATACTGCTGTTCCAGGCTATCCAAGGGAATGGGACAGCCCAGGAACCAACGTGGGTGAAGCAGGGGGTAGCACCTTTTGAGCCCTGTAAAACTTTATGTAAATGCTGAATCTTTTATAAGTATGTTTGGCATCATGCTTCACTGTATACAGTTTTCTTATGCAAATCATTTTGTGATGAACCTGTCGTAAAACCTTTTACCTGAAAATTCTGGCATTTCTTATTACAGGTTGACAATGCCAAGCCACTGCCTCACAATTAGCTGCAGTGCTGTCAACCTGCCATTGCACCACTTCAGTTGGCCATTGGGTTGTCTATTAGGACAGTCATAGGTAGCCCAACAGCCAACTGAAAGAGTATAGGCAGTAGGCAGAAAAAACTGCTGCTAATTTTGAGGCAGTGGTTTGGTGATGTCAACCTGACACATGAATTGGTATTAGTAGCAGGGTCTCCCATTAAAAAAAAAAAACCTGAAATAAAAAATAATTTTTCTAAGAAATCTGTAAATAGTGAGGCATGAAGCCAAACATACTGAAAAATATATGTATTAGATTTTTACATCTAGTGGGAAAGCTGACATTTGTTTGCTCACTCCGCAAAATTTTAGATGAATATTAATCTTGCTAAATTCAGCTTTGCTGCTTAATAAATACAAAAAAAGCTTGATTAGAGTGAAATGAAATTTAGTCAATGCCAAACAAGGTAAAATTGCATGAGATCAGTATTTTTTTTTTTTTATAAAAATTACCTTGCAATTTCCATCTCATAAAACAAATCATGTATTTAAAAACAAAAATAACTATTTGCATAAAAATGAATGCATCATTAATAAATCAGCCCAGTAACACAGCTTGCTGGGTCTAGAGTAGACAAACAATTATATATTGACAATTAACAAACTGCTAACTGTTTCAATATAATTATTATATACCAATTTGCCTCGTAATAAGGTTACACAGAGCAAAAACAGGACGGTATATAATATACATAAGCATAATCATAGCCATCAAAGTGAATGAAAAATGTTGAATATACTATTTTCTTCTGTTCTTTCTTTACATGAGGTCCATAAGGCTGTTTTAATTGGGCACAAATCTGAAATGCTTTTAAAATTAACAATTCAATAGAGCTTAGACAATTACAGTATTATCTCTGTTGGGTTCATTCTTCTTAGGAGATGTATTGATTGCCACACATTCATGAGGCTGTATTTTTAATAAGTCTATGGCAGAAATCAATTTGTGACATTTGATGCTTTATGCACACTTTGCAGGAACCATTTAAGCTGCAGAGAATGGATTTGGGCTAGCATATTCAAGAGGCTATGTTACACAAATTCAAGCCAGTGCAGATAAGTAAAATGATTCATTTTATATGTGCTTTCTGTTCTATTCTGTATAGTTCTTGTGCTAAAAGTTCCATTAGTCTGCAATTCAGGAACATCTGACTATACAGATACATACAACAGGACAAATGATCTTTCATTCCCCACACATTTGTCAGTGACTTGTTCACTATATTTATAAAATGTATTTCACAGGAAACTTCAACTGCACATTAGCTGATTCAAACAACATTCGCCAACATTAAACAGCATCTATTCTTCAGTAGGAAATGGTGTTTAGTAGTATTCCTTATAATTGTAAATGATTATCATGTGAACTTGCCTTTGTATTAACAAAGTGCCCAAATCCTTTAATAGTAAGAAAATTATAAGATCCATTATTCTGAGTGTCATATGCAAGAGAATAAAATAGATACCCCGCTGGCCATCACTAAATGATCTTAAGCCTCATTTTTCATAATACAATAAATATTGACTTCCTAATAAACTGAATTCCTAACCACTTCCAGACTCGACTATTTCACCCCCTTCCTGTGAAGGCTATTTTTCAGTTGTCAGTGCTGTCACACTTTGAATGACAATTACTCAGTCATGCAACAATGTACCCAAATTATTTTATGTAATTGTTTTTAGACAGATAGAGCTTTCTTTTGATGGTATTTAATCATCACTAGTTTTTTTATTTTTTGCTATATAGAGAAAAATAGATAATTTTTTTATCAAGTTGTCAAAAATTTTGGAGAAAAAAATATTTTTCTTTCTGTTTTAACATTTTGCAGATAAATAATTCTTCATAAATTTAGGTCAAAATGTATTCTGCTACATTTCTTTGGTAAAAATAACCCAAATCAGTGTATATTATTTAGTATTTATAAAAGTTATAGAGTCAACAAACTATGGTATATATATCTGAAAATTGATCAATCCTGATATTCTGACAGCCTCATTTCCTGCTCGGTAAAAATACTCCCACAATTACCCTTTTGAGAATAGGAATTACACCCTAAAAACATTCTGATACTCCTCACAGGTAAGATGATACCACATATGTGAGATTTTTTTTTCACAGCCTAGATACATAGAGGGGCCCAGAATCCAAAGAACACATTCAGGTTTTCGCGGAACATAAATTACATGTCTAATTTACTGACTTATTGCATTTATAAAGGCACTGGATCAGGACAGTGGAAACAACCACAAAATGACCACATTTTGGAAAGCAAACACCCCAAATCATTTTATAAGAGGTACACTGAATCTTTTGAAAATATTTTTTCCCACAAGTTTTTGTAAAATGTAGACAAAAAATGAAAATATGTTTTTTTGTTTTTTTTACACAAAGTTGCCAATTAATAAGATAGTTCTGTGACACAGCATAAGTATACTTAAAATTACACTCCACAACACATTCTACTACTTCTCTTGAGTATGAGGATACCACGTGTATTAGACTTTTTCACAGTGTATCTACATGGAGGGGCCCAAAATCCAAGGAGTACCTTCGGGTGTTTTACTGGCATAAAATTCCACATGTAATTTTTTAACTACCTATCACTACCTATTCTGGAGGCCTTGGAGCACCAGGACAGTAGAAACACCCACAAAATGACCATTTTGGAGAGTAAACAGCCCAAGGTATTTTTTAAGAGAAATGATGAGTTTTTTTTGAAGTCTTCTTTTTTTTTTGCCACAACGTTTTGGAAAATGCAGAGAGAAAATTAAAAATATTGTTTACACAAAGTTGTCAATTTTATAAAATATTTTTTTACATAAAACATGGACATACTAGATGACTGGCAGAATGAAGGATAGGGAGTACAGCAGGAGATCTGTTGGATATTTCAATGCGGTTTTTACTTGTGTAGAATGTAAGTGTGATTTTAATAAACCTCACTGGTTAATTTAACCACTTGCCTACAGGGCACTTATACCCCCTTCCTGCCCAGGCCAATTTTCAGCTTTCAGGGCTGTCACACTTTGAATGACAATATGGCACTGATAGGTGGCATTGATAGGCAGCACTGACTGGCACTGTTAGGTTGCACTGACTGGCACTGTTAGGCGGCACTGATAGGCAGCACTGATGGGCACGGATAGGTGGCACTGACAGGCGGCACTGACTGGCACTGATAGGTGGCACAGATTGGCATTTATAGGTGGCACTGACTGGCACTGATAGGTGGCACTGAAAGGCAGCTCAGATGGGCACTGATATGTGGCATTGATGTGCACTGGTAGGCACTGATATGTGGTATTGATGAGGCACTGATGGGCACTGGCAGATGGCATGGATGAGCACTGACAGCTGGCATTGATGGACACTGACAGGTGGCACTGCTGAGGCTACACTGATCATCAGTGGACACTGATCATCAGTGCCCTGATGATCAGTACACATGTCCCCTCTGAGGGATGCCAATTACTGGCTCTCCTCTCCAGCTGTCAGCGATAACCGGCATCTTCCTATTTACATGCAATCAGCTGTGATTGGACTCATCTGATCACATGACCGAGCCGACATCTTTGGCTTTTTCCATTGACCGGTGATCCGCTGTGTCCGAGGGACACAGCACACCACCAATCGCCGCGCTGCGCGCTCCCGGAGCAGTGCATGCGCGGTTTAAAATGGGAGGACATCATATGACGTCCTCCCAGAATGAGAGAACCGCCTTGTGCCCGTCATTACCTTATATGGCGGGCGGGAGGCGGTTAATACTACACTATGGTGGCACATGTGTTTGCTCTGAGACAACATCAGCGGAGACACAGAGAGACACAGAGGCGGATTTAAAGTGGTAGTAGCTGAGTCGATTAGAGAGTGGAGTGACAGAATGGAGGAGGCATTCATATTATCCCCTAGGTGGGGACAACCCTCTTTTGACCTATATTGACATATGGGTAAAGAGATAATATGAGAGTACACCTTTAATCACATTGGTGGTACTTACAGTTTTAACCAGTCCTTACCTTACAGCACCGAGTTTGTGGGATCAGTTAACCTTGTGTTGTTTGTTAAAGAGACACTTGGCAGTACATTTAATGATATCATCAAGCAAGGTGGTAATATCTTGAAGGCATTTGAATAAACCAAATATTGCATGTGCACTATTATTTGATCATTTTATATGTGTTATCAAACAGGTTGATTGAAGATTTTATTTTTATTATTATTCACACAAATTTATTATTATTTTCACACAATATTTGGATAATTTAACTTTATTAGGAAGGAGTATTGTATGTTTATATATATGAATATACATTTTTACACCAGCATCATGAGTAGAAATATAGGGGGGTCTAAATAATGAATGTTCTTATACACATATATATATACTGTCATTTTTAAGAGTTTTTACTGCATTTCCCTTTTTTTTACTCAGGAAATGTGGTTTGACGTTTGTGCCTGTGACGTAAGCATCTAACCGGCTATCAAGGCTCTCTTTACTCTTTCAAGGTTAAGAAAAGCATCTTTTAGTCAAACCATTTTGAACCAGCAACTGTCATGATGGATGACCACAAGTCTCTATTTTGGACTAATCACATGATGTTAACACCCACTTAACTCTGAGCTTGCTGTTAATCATATAAGGATTTGATTGGATTAAAACTATTTGAACACACCTGGACCTTATACGGTCACACCCGGATCTTACGTCTATATATGTAATAATATAAAGCTTAAGAGATAGATATTTTGTTTACCTTGGTTCATCTCATACAAGGTGAACTTTTGTATGCTATATTACCTCCACTGCAGTGTAATAAATGCACCTTTCAATATCAATTTGGACTCACTATCTCATCTGAAAGGTCTCGGTTGTAGGCCCCCTAACCTGAAGTTACAAACACAAGGTATATTTTATTCATTTCATTTTAGTGGGTGGTGAACACAGTTTTTAGTGTCTGCAGCAGCTGAATTGGGACAGTACTAATTAAAGAGGCAGCACAGAAGAATATTGTTTTTATTACACTGAGAATTACATGCCAAAACACATTCTGCTTCTCCTCCTGAGTAAAGGGATAACACACGTGTGAGACTTTTTCAATGTGGAAGTGATCAGGAATGCTGTTGCTGGCAGCACTGGCTCTGGGGGCACTTTACTGATGTGGCAGAGATCAGGACACTGTTGATGCACTGGCTTTGGTGACAATGTCTCTGGTGTGGCGGTACTCAGGAACATTGCTGCTGGCTACACTGGTCCTGGAGACACTGTGATTAGTGTGATGGTGATCAGGGACATTTTGACTGACTGGCCACACTGTCTGCACCCCCACTCCCACCATCACTATAAAATTGGGAGCAACGGCTGTGTCCTTGCAGCTTCCCAATAGACATTGGTGGAACTGCCTGCACAGGAATGCATGGACCATCTGTGCATCGACTTGTGGGTAAACATGCCCATCGCATGTGGTACACATTGAATGAGACCTTATAGTGACACTGGGATTGGAGTGCAGTCGCAGTGGTCAGGGACTCTGTGACTGGACGTACTATTGGGTATCATTCACACGAGGTGTATAGATGTTTACCTGCACAGGGATACACAGGTGTGCCATGTATCCCTCTCAGGGGCGGACTGACCATTTGGAAACTCGGGCACTGCCCGAGGGCCTGGGGTCAGTAGGGGGCCCCATGAGATGCCCCTGGTACCTTTTTCATAGGCTTTTTTGAGTTTGGGCAAGGACACAGGGGCCCCATGATCCCCTATTGCCCAGGGGCCCCATGAGTTGTCAGTCCGCCCCTGATCCCTGTGCAGTCTCAATGATGCCTATTGGGACACAGTGGTTGCAGAGACACAGCCGTTGCTTCCAATCTGACATCGGTGCTGCTGTGTGTCTTCGCTCTGTGTTCAGGCCTTGACCCCACATGAATGTCAGATTACGTGCAGCAACTGTGTGTGGCAGTGTTCATGGACACTGTGACTGGCTGCACTGGTGTGGTAAGAGTGTCCGGCCGGAAGTGGTTAAAGTAGTTCTAATGTCTAAATGAGTTTTTTCTCTCTAATGCATTCTCTGTATTAAGGTTAGACATGTAAACGTCAGACACATTTTCCATTATTTGGAGATTCATATGTATCTGAATTACAAATTACAACAAATTTAAAAAAATCTGAAATAAAATTAAATTCAGCTGAAATATGAATCGATTGAAATTCAAAAACACATTCGAAAACACATTCAAATTTGAAAACAAGAATATATTAAAATAGAACAGAAAATAAAGAAAATAATAGAATAGAAAAAAAAAGAATAGAATAGAAAAGATTAGAGGAAAAAAGAACACAGTAGAAAATAAAAGAATAGAACAGTATACAGTAGAAAATAATAGAGTAATGCAGAACAAAATAGAATAGAAAATAAAGAAATAGAAAATAATAGAATCAATTAGAATAGAATAGAAAATATTAGAATTGAAAATCAAAGAATAACATAGAAAATAATAGAATCAATTAGAATAAAGTAGAAAAGATTAGAATAGAAAATCAAAGAATAAAATAGAAAAGAATAAAATCAATTAGAATAGAGTAGAAAAGATTAGAATAGAAAATCAAAGAATAGAATAAAACAGAGCAAAACAGAATAGAAAATAAAGGAATAGAATAGAATCAATTAGAATAGAATAGAGAAAATAATAGAATAGAATATCAAAGAACAGAATAGAAAAGAATAGAAAAGATTAGACTAGAGAATCAAAGAATGGAATAGTATAAAAACCAATAGAATAGAATAAAATTGAAAGAATATAACTGCCTTCTGAAATTCGAATTTTGAATAGAATGAATTTGAACAGAATACATTAGAATAAAATAGAAAAGAATGGAAAAGAATAGAATAGATTAGAAAAGACTAAAATACTTCACAAAAAAATGTGAGCTGCGCTATGGTGACATAAGAAGTGATCAACAAAGGCATTGTGAAAATTTTGCTGAAATCAAAATTTCCAATATGGTCACGCAACTCTTCATATAGCCCATATACCATCAAACCACATATGGATTGTGGATTATGGATTGTAACTTTAGAATTATTTTCGAATCCATTAGAATTATTTTCGAATCCGTTAAAATTATTTTTGAATCCATTCGAAACTTAGAATTTGAACAAAATTTCAATAAACTAAACAAATTCTGAGAACCAAATTAAATGATTGTAACTAATCAAATGAAATAAAATTAGTCAAATAATGAATCGAAATGAAACAAATTTTATTATTTTGCACATGTCTACTTATCCGCATCCCCGCCTCCCTATAGTAGAACTACTGCTACAGGGAGGCAGGGCTGCATAAAATCACATATATATATATACTTGATTTGCATTTTCTGGGTAGGGGGCGCGCGCACACCGCCCTACACGCGTTGCCATTGGTGACTACAGATGTCGATCACCAGGTCCCAGCTGGAGATTCCACGCCGGCAACCGGCGTTTGCCGAGTAACACTGGCATGGGAGAGACTAGTGTGTAAACAACACAGGTCTCTCTCCTCCCTCCTTTACTCTCCTCACAGCAGAGAAATACACAGCAGCATGCGTCCCTAGTAAAACACACACAGCACAAAATGTAAAGCAGCACACAGTTAGCCATTTGATCCCCCCAGATATGACCCCTTCATGCCCAGTATCATTAGTACAGTGTGCTTTTTATTAGCACTGATGTCAGTGGCAGTTAGTCAGTTCCCACCCAGTGTCAGAATGCCCACCGAATCCCCGTAGTCCCACAGTAAGTCGCTGATCACTGCTATTACTAGTATGAAAAAAAATAAAAATTCCAGTATATACTGTATACTGCCATTTGTTGACGCTATAAGTTTCACTAAAACCAATTAATTTACACGTATTGGGATTTTTTTTTTAGCAAAGACATGTAGAAGAATACATTTTGATCTAAACTGATGACAACACTTGATTTTTAACATTTTTTTAATGGATATGTTTTATAGCAAAAAGTAAAAAAATATTGCTTTTTTTTCAAAATTGTCGGTTTTATTTTGTTTACAGCACAAAAATTAAAAAATGCACAGGTGATCAAATACCACCAAAAGAAAGCACTATTAGTGCGAAAAAGGACATACATTTTATTTATGTGCAGCATTGCATGACTGCGCAATTATCAGTTAAAGTAAAGAAGTGCCGTATTGCAAAAAATGTCCTGGTCAGGAGGGGGTAAATCCTCCGGAGGGCAAGTGGTTATGATAAAAAAAACACCCCTCTACCTGTCCTACTCACCTTCATCCCTAAACACTTACTGTACCTGATCTCTGTCTGTGCTGCTGCCCTCACTCCCAGCTTTCACAGAAGACACTAAGGGCAGTGGTAGCCATAGGCTCCTGTGGTTCTCAGTTCAATTCCTGTGAGGAGGGAACCGGGGATGGATACCTGATTGTAACTGATTTTAGTAAGTATCCTTTTACCCATCAGGTTAATACACTACCAATATTTTAATGACCCTATTTTACATCCAATGGTGGGGTTCCCTTGTGTTGTCTTCCCTCAGAGTATTTTGTGCCCCAAAATCCACGTTGAGACTGGTCCTGCCAGCGACCTGTAGAGTCCTTCTTCACCCTGTGTACT